GTAACCGTACTAAGAGTGTGATCACACAGGGAAATAGATTGCAATCTGGGTTGCTTGCTTAGTGGCAGGACTGGACTATTCCACAAAATGCTGCTTGACTCTCAACATGGAACTGCAGCTGATCCAATAGAGGGGGCAATTTGTTGTATTTATTTTAATATTTTCCAAACTGCTGTCTTTTTAGAATAGCTTGCCACAACGTTATCAGTGAAAAGCAAAAACGCAGTGCTCAGACAAGCCATCTAAAAATACAAAAGGGAAAAAAGCAGTAAGGGCAAATTGGGTGGGTGAAAAGGTATTAGAAAAAAAGGATAGATAAAAAGAAAAATAATATAATAAAATAAGTAATAATATAGTTCAAGATGAGAAAAATAATCAGGTGATGACAGGAGGAAAAGCCTGCCTAAAGGGCCAGGTCTTACGTTTGCTCTTAAAAACACCCAGTGAGGGAGCCAGAGAGATCTCTGGAGGCAGAGTGTTCCAAAGGAAAGGGGCCATTGCCAAGAAGTCCCGGTTTCTTGTTCTTTCTCTCCGGGCCTCGCTCGGCGTTAGGCCCCTCAGCCTCCTGTCCTGGCTAGAACAAATGATTCGGGTAGATCTAGCTGGAAGGAGATGTTCTGCTAGATGTTGAGGTTCTAAACTGTTTAGGTCTTTATATGTCATCATTAACACTTTGAAATCAATGCGGAAAGGAATGGGCAGCCAATGCAAAGCAGCCAGAGTGGGGGAAATATGCTGATATTTTCTCGTCCCACTGAGAAGTCTGGCCACCACATTCTGCACCATTTAAAGCTTCTGCATCAATCTCAAAGGTAGCCCCACATAGCGCGCATTACGGTAGTCTAATCTCGAGACTACAAATGCATGGACCAGGGTGGTGAGCGCCCCAACATCAAGATAGGGACACCGCTGGGCAATCCGCCAAAGATGGAAATAGGTGGAATGGACCATTGACGCCACATGGGTTTCCGTGGTAAGCGCTGGATCTAGATGGACCCCCCAAGCTGCGAACCTCACTCTTCGTGGTGAGAGCTACTCCCCCAAAGAGAAAGAGTTCCCCAAACCACCAATGGTGGGGCCACCCACCCTCAGGACCTCCGTCTTGTCCAGGTTCAGCCTCAGTCCATTCTCCTGCATCCATCGCGGTACAGCCTCCAGGCAGTGCATAGATATAAAATGATTAAATCTACAACAGAGATGCAAAATGGAGGCTCTCCTGGTGCTAATGAGCCGCTAGTCACCATTAGCTTCTCCTAGCTAAGGCCAATGGGATATGTTCAGGACACAGATTCTCTAATCGCCATGTAACCTGACATCTTTTAGTCCGAAATTCATCATCACCATCATCATCTTAGAACTTAGAACTATGGATCATTGACTCCAGCCCTTGTTAAGGAGGCACAGTGAGGAATTTAACTCTCTCAACCTCAGCCAGAGACGTAAACCACTGAGCTATCCAGCAGTCAATGGGACTGCCTAAGTAGCCATGTATTGGATGCTGCTGTAAATTGCTTTCTTATTGGAAATGTTCCATTTCTTCAGTCCAGGTAAAGCGGGACATGACACAGAGGAATAAATGGTATCTCCTGACTCATCCATCCCAAGAAGACACAGAGCCAGGTAAGTTATTTTGGCATGTGAACAACAACAACAACAAGGTTCCTTTCCTCCATCTTTTCTTTACATATGTGTTGAGTTATTCTTCAGCAGTCAATGCAGTGAGCTTACTCTAGCTAAGATTAGCTGTAGGAGGTTGACCTGCAAAATTAACCATTTATGGTATCTCCTGACTCATCCATCCCAAGAAGACACAGAGCCAGGTAAGTTATTTTGGCATGTGAACAACAACAACAACAAGGTTCCTTTCCTCCATCTTTTCTTTACATATGTGTTGAGTTATTCTTCAGCAGTCAATGCAGTGAGCTTACTCTAGCTAAGATTAGCTGTAGGAGGTTGACCTGCAAAATTAACCATTTGCTTCTTTTCCAAGCTGCCTCAAATCTTTCCCCTAAGGCAGCTGTCACACCTTTCCAACCGGTTGCTGTGCCTGAATGCGCCTTGTGTGTGGAAGTGCATCCACATCACTGCAAAAGGAATAGGAATCACCCTTCTGCACAGGAGGGCGTATGATGCCCGGAACAGAATTTGGAGAAGCTATTTTGTCTGCAATTCCTGGAATGCCTCTTATCCAAATGGCCAGTGGCTGGGGCTGGCCACGAGACCCTGAGAATTATAGTCCAAAAATCAGGTTCTCTTCTAAGCTGAGTTCACTGCTGATGCAGAACGAAGAGGCTCCTGTCGTTGGAGACCTGCTTCTGGAGAGTGCGTACAAGGAGATTGCTCAGCTTTTCGGCTCAGTCATAGAAAAATATCTGCCTTGCCGCTGAAAGAGTCCTGCTCTTTTCTTTCTACTCAGCTCAGTTGCACCTGGGTTGCGCTTTGCGGAGAAGCTTGGGGCCCTGCGGTTTCCGGGCTGTGTTGTTCATTTCTTGCCTCAGTGCTGAGGCCGTTGCACAATCTCACAATGTTCTTTCAGGCTGATGTACCCAGGCCGAGGGAAGGGGCTGAGCCTGGAAAGAGGGAGTGAGGGCTTTTTAAAGCATTCTGTCTCCTCTCCCTTTTGAGTGGACCTCCATGACTTCTGTGCTCATCAGTAGGGCAATTAACAGAAAGATGCTGTGGAGTTGGGAAGGCTGTACATCCACATTTCAACCTGTAAGCATGGGATAAAGGTTTGGAGATGGTGGGAAGCAGGTCTCCAGTGGTCCCATCTAGGGCAGCGGTTCCCAACCTTGGGTCCCCAGATGTTCTTGGCCTACAACTCCCAGAAATCCTGGCCAGCATAGCTAGTGGTGAAGGCTTCTGGGAGTTATAGTCCAAGAACATCTGGAGACCCAAGGTTGGGAACCACTGGTCTTGGATGAATCAAGCAGTGGGGCTCCAGCTGAGGAGGGGCAGCAACAGCTCTTGGGATGGGAGATTTTCTTGTGCTTTCTTCCCCAATCTGAAGCCCTTTCAACATCTGTGGGTTTGTGGTTTAAGGCTGTTTAAGTACAAGGGGGCTGGTCTAGAAAGTTGTGAAATTGACCCTACAATTAGTTACACTCCTGGGTCCTTCTTGAGGTGATCTAATTGGCAAGCTCAGGAAAAATCCCGTTCTCTATTATCAACGGAGAGACCTGTGTTGGTTGGTCATACAATAAAAAGAGGTGCAACATCCTAGGTTTGAATCCAGCTTTGCTGCTTCCCGACAATGTTTCCCTTATGTCATTCCTTCTCACATCTTGGGAAAGTTCCTCTTTTGGGGGGCTAGGGGTTGTGGAATTCCTTAGGCCAGCGTGCCCATTTCTCAGACGGGCTGAGGGGTGGTGATCTGAGCTTGTAGTCCCCAAAACAAGTTCTTTTCTTTGGTTGAGAGGGAGATGTTTATGGTTGGTATTAAGGAGGATTTCTGGACATTCCTCTTGGATTACAGCCCCCACTGCCGAAAGTAACATCTTTCATGCTTCTCTAAATGAAAACAGGCAAACCCTTTTTCTGTTAAAAAGATAATTTATTAAAAAGCAGTGAATTGGGTCCCTGCATTTCCCTCTTGTTCGACCCTTCCGCCTTTCCCTTTCTACTGCCTTATCCTCCCTCCATGCTAATGTCTTGATACACCTTTTCCCCCTACATATTAGCATGTTCAACTCTATGCATTACATTTGGGGGGCATGATCCAAGTGGCAAAGCCACATTTAACCACTCTGAGATGAGGAAGCCTGATGTGATCAGGAGCCTTCACCACTGCCAGATTACTGAACCTCCCATCCTGGGGCCGCACATAATGATGTGCTGTCTCTTCCAATTTATAGTCACCCTTTCCAGAGTTTTCAAGGCTCCATAAGTGGCAGGGCCGGCATCAGCCAGCCACACATAGTCCGGGGTGGCCTTGGCTGACTCCTCTCCCAGGAAGCACCGCGGGGGACTTGAACTTGCAGCCGCACGCTCGGCAGCCAGGCGTTCCAATGCACTGCCTGATACCAGCTCAAACAGTGAGATAGAGCCAGCCTGCATTCTACCAACTTCTCTTTTCTATAAGGAAGGAACCTCAGCCTTTCACCGAAGGAGAGAGACCATGTGGGGTAACTGCAGAATATTTTTTATTCAAAAATGGGTGCTCAGCCATTGTTTTGTTTATTTCCTCTTCCCGGTAAATATCAGAAAGGTCCTAAAGGTAACTTGAAACATTATCTGTACCTGAAAAACAAAATCTGAATGCCTGCAGTTTCCTGGTACAGATCCTGATTTTCCTCTTTCTTTCTCCTATATTTACTTTTGTATTTTGGGGTCAGAAGTTTGCTTTTCTTTCCTGGGGACGAAAATCTCTGAGGTCAACCCCCTGGCCCTTCAAGATCAGGCAGTCTAAAGGCTACAGATCCTAACTGGCGGGCAAAGAAAACAGGTCCCCCCCCCCCCGTTTTCACTTCTTCTGTTTTGCAGGCTTTGCCCAGGGCTGGCCGCTCCGAGGAAGTCGTGGTGTCTCCTTTCAAGATTTATTAGGGTTAGGGAGAACGGCCTGCCCAGGAGATTTTGCTGGCTGGGGAGACACTCCCTTGAGATAAACAGCCAGCCCTGTTTCCTCTCACGACCCGCTTGCCAACTCTGAAATCCAGGCACCTGGCCTCCTCGCTAGGATGGCCGAGTCGTGACACACACACACACCAGGAGGGTCTGATGATGAGGAAGCCCTCCCCCCCCCTTTGTTTTCCTCCAACAAACTTAGAAAAAGTCACGAAACTGCTTATTCAGCCAATAGGAGTCCAGAGGAATGGTGGGTATGTATATGGGGGCTAAGGCAGATGGCAGTTGCTGTTCTATCTGGCAAGGGGGGAGAGTGACCAGCAGCCCTTTCGGAAAGCGAAGGAGCAAAATCCCTCTGGATAAAGAGAGGTGCATGTTTGCCTTTTCTGGTTTCACAGGCTGAGCGGAGGGTCTGTGGAACGGTGTGCTGTCCAAGACACACACACCCCTTCCCCAGCATCTCTTGGGCAGCTGCTACAGGATGCAACATCACAAAGAGGTGAGTAGCAGCCAAGTGGGTGGATGTGCGGGGGGTGTTAGAGTTTAGAAAAGCTGCAGTTCCGAGCACCACGCCTGGAATGCTTCTTCCAACAGCATCCTGGGAGCGGCTGTTCTCCAAAAATCACTTCTTCCAACCTGTGGTTTAGATAGGTTGCCAGATCAGGTTGATGCCCATGGGTAAGCGAGAAGCCCTCGATCAGTGCACCGAGGAGTGATTAAGCACATCCTCTGTAGGTTCCAGGTTCAAAACGCCAATAGTCTGATTCTCTTAACATTTTGATTTTTTTTTCTAAGTTTACGTTAATTTCACATAGGTCCACAGTTTTAAATTGTGCAATGCTCTGAGAGGAAGAAAGAAAACTGCAAGACATGATAAAAATAGCATAATAACCCCGTGCTCTCAAGTCAGTTCTGGGGTATGGTGATCCTTTTTCAGGATTTTCCAGGTAGAGATACTCAGAAATGGCTTACCCTCCCCTTCTTCTAGGGTCACTTTTGGGACTGTGCAGCTTGTCCAAGGCCACACAGGCTGGATTTTCTCCCTGGAGGCACAGCGGGGAATTGAACTCCCAGCCTATGGCTCTGAAATCAAATAGCTAACCCTTAAGCTCTCCAGCCATCATTCAAGACCTGATAGCTGCAGGAAAAGAGCAGAAGCATAGCATCGTAGTGTTGGAAAGGCACTGCAAAGGTCATTTAGTCTAACCCTCCATTCAGTGTTGGAATCTTGCAGCACAGAACCACAGGACAGGGATCAAGTATTCTTCTAAATCTCCACCTCTGTCCAAAATACAGAGCCACTTAGTGGACTTGAGAGACTTGTTGCATTCTTGCAGAGTAAGCTCATGTTGCAGGATAAGATCGTGGACTGAAGCTTGCTTCTCCGGCCTGAGGAGTCCTTGACCTTCCAGAAGGTTTAGACTTCACCTCCCGGGCTGGTTTGGGTTTTTGGGAGCTGAAGTCCAAACTGCCTGCAGATGCAAAGATTGGGACCCACCGCTTTTGATCCCGTGCTGGCTGCTCTTGGAGCAGGGAGTGAATTCCCCAGGAACATCTCTTTTCACCCTTAGGTTATGTACATGGATTCTTGGCAGAAGTGTTTGATGGAGCCGTCCCTGCAAATGGTACCTGCTGGAGCAGAGACAGATATACCAGGTAAGGAGTTCTCTTTAAATACTTTTCTGAATGGGGTGTGGGTGGGAGGACACAATCCTGTGCCTTTAGGTTACCTTTTAGCAGTTTAGACAGAGTTTCATTTTGCAAACCCATTTGATCTGTTTTTAATCGAACCTTGGCTGTTTTTTTTTTTTTTGGCTTTGTTTTGGTCGTTGGTTTTAGTTTTGCACGTCTGTCATTGGAATTGCAACATTTCTTTTGGCTTTTCAAAAGAAAAGGAAATACAATGCTGAATGTTATCTTTCGCATGAACTGTATTCCTGATGCTGCTTTTCAAGGGTCTTTAGCATCTCTGGGGAGAACGCTAAGTTAGTAATACTTAGCAAATTAAACCAAGTGCGCAGAATATGCTGAGTAAATCAAGTGGGTAAATGAAGCAAATAGAATTAACAGTAAAGCAGAACAAACATGAGGCAATCCTGATGATGATGACTTGCCCCAATTAGTGCAAGTCAGAATTCTATCTTACATAGATTGCGCTTCAATTTTGGCATCCAGGCGAAATACCCTAAACCGGAATGAGAAAAAAGAACGGTCAGAGATGGTTGTGAATAGAACACGTGTCACAGGAAATGAAACACTTCCCAAAATATTTACAGGCAGGTACACATAGGTATACATGCTTCTTGTGTACACCCCCATTGCCTAGCTGGCCTGTTAGAAGGGTGGTTTAGGGAGCAGAAGGTGGCTGGTTTGAGAGGCCACGAGGAAGGGAATTCTAGTTCATGTGGACAGCCTCTGCAGACAGCAGAGACCTCTTTTTTTAAAAGACTTGTTCTCCTCCATGTGTTTTGGGTGAGAAAATCAGAGATACATGAGGGGTGGGACCTTAGTGTGCTTCCTAAATGCATGGTGAATGTGCCCAAATATACATGCCAGTCTAGGGCTTTGCTGTTGAATGTGTTCAAGAAAATCGATTTAGGGGTAGGAAGGGACCCCAGTACAGGCTTCTTAGACACACAGATCTGCTGGCAGGCATCTTTTCTGCAGGGAAAAAACAGCAAGAAGTATTTGGGTGAGAGAAAGAGGAAGGAAGGGGAGCCCATGAATACCAGTCTAGTACACCAATCCCAAAAAGGCAAGAGGGATGTGCCATATGCGTCCTCTGTTCCAACACTGTCTTCAGTTAAAAAGGATTGGGTAACAGGTGATAGGAAGGGCATCTGCCCTAGAAATGGCTTTTTGAAGCAGATCAACTTTTCCCAACCTAATGTCCTGCTGGCTGAAGTTGGCGGGAGCTGCATCTGACACGTCTAAAGACCACAAGATCAGGGAAGGCTGGAGTCGGTGACACCAGGAGGAATGGCCGGTGTTGGTGAGAGGGGAGGGCAGGAGACACAACAGTCAACCGTGGTTCTTTTCGTCCATCTTTTCTTCACATATGTGTTGACTTACAGTATTATTCAGCAGTCAATGCAGTGAGGCTACTCTAGCTGAGATTAGCTGTAGGAGGTTGGCCTGCAAAATTAACTATTGGCTTCTTTTCCAAGCTGCCTCAAATCTTTCCCCTAAGGCAGCTGCCACATCTTTCCAACCTGTTGCTGTGCCTGAATGCGCCTTGTGTGTGGAAGTGCATCCACATCACTGCAAAAGGAAGGGAATAGGAATCACCCTTCTGCACAGGAGGGCGTATGATGCCCGGAACAGAATTTGGAGAAGCTATTTTGTCTGCAATTCCTGGAATGCCTCTCATCCAAATGGCCAGTGGCTGGGGCTGGCCACGAGACCCTGAGAATTATAGTCCAAAAATCAGGTTCTCTTCTAAGCTGAGTTCACTGCTGATGCAGAACGAAGAGGCTCCTGTCGTTGGAGACCTGCTAAGCGTGGCAGGTAGAGACTGGGGCAAAAAGAGGGATCCATGCCTTACAGAGAGAGGGGCACTTTCACACCGGGACAGGCAGGCAGCTGTTTGCCTACGCACAGGAGGAAGAGTGGCATTGAGGAGTGGGCTAGCTGGGAGCAAGAGGGGCATTGACCTATTTATCACACCATCCCTGGTGGGTAGCAAGAACTGGTAGGATAACCTGGCATACGGCAGGTTCTTGGTGTTGCTTTGTCCTTCTCTTAACCTCTCAGGTGGGCTGATGGATCCATGGAGTGAATCTACCCACAAGGTACCCCTCTAACCCAGGCTGCTGTCAAAATACTGGTTTCCAAATGAAAGCATGACTCTCCTTTCTGTTCTCCCCTTTGCCAAGACTACATAGAAGACAGCAGGAACACGATCCACCAGGAAGACTTCAGCGCTGCCGACTGGTGGTTGCTTCCAGAAAACGAGACGGATCAGCAACTGACGGGCTGGACAGACCGGAGTTACCTGGCTGAGCTTGAAGGGCTTGAGAAGGACATGCCCTTCCCTCCTGCAGTGGGCTTCAAAGGTAAAAGACAGGTCTCGTTGGCAACAGTGGGGTGGGATGATGGGATCATTCTGTCAAATGGAGACAGAGGGGAAGGAGATGCACGGCCATCCCCATTAGTTCTGGTGCAAGCCCGATTCTGCTAGGATCCCTTCTCTGGAAGGAGGGAAGCTGCCTATTCCATCAGTCCTACTGGGAGAGTGGATTCCTCATGCCCCTCCTCTCCCCAAATGGTTTCTCAGGCAGATATTACAGTGGAAACAGTCTGGGAGAGTGGATTCCTCATGCCCCTCCTTCTCCCCAAATGGTTTTTGGGGCAGATATTACATTGGAAACAGTAGAACTGCTGGGTAGCTCAGTGGCTTAGGTCTCTGGCTGAGGAGCCAGAAGCTGGGAGTTCGATTCCCCCACTGGGGAATCCTTGAAGCTGGACTTGATGATCTATAGGGTCCCCTTTGAGCTCTACAGTTCTAAGATAATAATGATGAAGACTGAATACTAAAAAGTGGTGCCAGAATTTGCTTTCCCTCCCTCTTTGCAACTTTTACCCTCACCCATTTTATTTTCATCTGTGTGATTTATTTTCCTAGTAAAACCAGAATTCATAGGATTCTAATTGCGAAACCTTCCGTTAGCAGACATATCACTTCATTCTCTCTCCACACACACACACCTCAGCCTGTCTTCCGTGTTAATTCTGGTCACTGCTATTATTCCCACAACATGTGGGAGAGAAATGGATTTCTACCCCTACCCCAAGCGATAGTATATTGTTGTGGGTGCCTCCTAGCTGTAATCTGAAGTATTTGGGGGCATCACGGCCTTGGATTGGAGTGAAGAACCATTGGCTTTAAAAAAGACCTGCTCTCAGGGGAAATTCCGGTGTGGGTTTATACATACAGTTCAATACAGATGCCTGCATTCTAGGGCTCACCTTTGAGATACGACTTTGGGAACTGTCACGACAAGGGCCTCTGCTTTAAAATCTACTTTCCTATCAATTGTGTATTTTTAGATTGTCAGGTTGTGAGGCAGGGACTGGCTTGTTTCCTTACATCCCAGCTGCAAATCACTTTGGGGCTGAAACATACAATTAAAAAAAAGGAAGAAAAGGAATAAAAGTCTGAATTGTTAATCCAAACTAGAGTAGCCCCATTGAATCATACTCAACAGGAACCCCATGAATCCAGTGGGTTGGTTCTAGTAGATACAACAATCGGATTGGGGGCTCTTCCATCCCAACTGCAAATGGATTTACCTAGGTTCCCCAAATATTCTACAACTCCCAGAAATCCTGGCCAGTGGAGCTAGTGGTGAAGGCTTCTGGGAGTTTTAGTCCAAGAACATCTGGGGAACCCAAAGTGGGAGCCATTGACCTAGAACAATCCTTGATGAAATGATATGCCTGATCTTTAAATTTATTTATATATATAACTTTCTTTTATTTTAGGCTTCTCTGAAAACACCAGTACTATAGTGGAATTGACACAGGCCTCTGGCTGCCTAGATTATGAGGAACAATACAACAGGGGTAAGTTTGACGGTTGTGTTAAAGAAAAGAAAGGTTGAGCGGGACAAGGGAATCTTTGTCCCTATGCATGTTTTCGATTACTACAATCCTTGATGTTGGTTTCGGCAGTTGAAGTGCAACACATCTGGACTTTCAGGCTCCCCATCTCTGCCTTAGAAGATTCACTGTTCTTTTTAACAAATAGTTTTGGACATGTGAGATGAGATCAGATTGGTACAAACCACAACTCCCACCAGCTTTCCCCCAGCATGGAAAAGCAGTTGAGGGTGCTGAAGTCCAAAACAATGAAAGGGATGACGGTGACTTCCATTCCTTGAGTTTTAAAGATACACGAAGCACCCATCTTTGGGTCCTAAGTAGGTCTAGACTGGGTCAATGGCTGGATGAAGGACTGTTAGGGAAACCCCTGTAGGTCATCTTGGCTTCCATGACGGAATAAAAATGGGGTATAAATGTATCTCAACAAATCTACACATCAAACGTTTATTCTGTTTTAGTTTCTAATTTTATATTTGCATTCGTTCAGTGAAAAATTTTGTTTTTGCTTCTGCTATCTTCAGGTTCTGGCTTTGTCCTGCAGCAAGAGCATGTCCCCACGGGCATGGAGGCCTCTTGCTATCCTGCCCTTACGGTCCCTCCACCATCTTCTTCCCCTTTACACTTTTGGCCCCTTGAAGAACACCTCTCCCCCCTTCAGCCGCTCCTTAGAGGTCAACAAGAGAGCCAAGAGAACGGTAAGAACTTAGGAAAATCGCCTTAATCAAGTCTGGCTCCCCATTAGCAGTGGGCAGAAGATACGGGGGAATCTACCGGCTGGTCACCGGATGATCCTGGCCTTAGGGCAGCCTCCCCACACCGGAGCTGACGGGAGCTGCAATTCAACACACCCAGAGGATAACAAGTTGCAAGAGGCTGCCCTAAAGTTCAAGGCTGTCTTATGTATACCTTGTTTGTGGGGCTCGGCAGTAACAGGTGGGAGACAGGATAGTGGACTTGACAATCCCGTTCTGACTTTCCAAAGCAATTCTGGTTTGCGAGCACAGACGAGGTACCACGCAAAGCGTAATAAGGCTGTCTCCACATTTTATGCACATTCATATTTTGGGATTGTCCTTGAATATGCAGTTGTGCCTCACTTTACCATTGCCCCGCTTTACGACAAAACCGCATTACGATGATCTTTTTGCGATCGCAATTGCGATTGCAAAAAGATGGTCTGAATAGGGGTTTTTCGCTTTGCGATGATCGGTTTCCTGCTTCGGGAACTGATTCTTCTCAAAACAACGATTTTCGGACAGCTGATTGGCAGTTTCAAAATGGCTGCTGGGTAAATAAAATTGCTCCCCGCTGTTTTCTGGAACGGATTCCTCGCTGCACAGGCAACGAAAATGGCCGCCCTATGGAGAATCTTCGCTGGATGGTGAGTTTCCAGCCCATTGGAACGCATTGAAGGGGTTTCAATGGGCTTTTTATTTTTGCATTACGACGTTTTCGTTCTACAGCGATTTCGCTGGAACGAATTAACGTCGTAATGCGAGGCACCACTGTGTTAGGGGTTCTGTCTTGTACCAGACCAAACTATCCAGCTCTCTAGCCCAGCACTGCTGACTCAAGATCGACAGTAGCCCTCCTGATTCTCCAGCTGCTGCCTGAATGAATCTTTTTAACTGGAGATGCCAGAGGCTCCATCTAGAGCCTTGTCCATGAAGAAGAGGTGTTTTAACCATTGTGCTTTGCTCCCTCAGTTGCTACTGCTGCTGCTGCTGATGATCAGAGAAGAGTCAATATGCTGATTCAGAGTCTTGAAAAACCTAGTCTGTTCAACCTCTCACAAAACTCTAAGACAGGAGCTGGTCAAACCGGGCCCACCAGATGTTAGACTGCAATTCCCAGCATACCCAACGATGTTCTGCATTGACTAGGATTGCTGGGAGTAGCAGTCCAACATCTGGAAAGCCACACCTGGCCTATCTTTGTTTTAAGATTGTCTGGTATTACACATCAGTTGTCAAGGGTACTTCCATAATCATGTTTGTGAACCATTGTTCTCTTCCTAGATCAAGTCTTTTTGAGAAGCACAACATCCTGTAAGTGGGGAAAACCTGAAGCAGCTGCCTTCAGTCAACCCAGCACGTCAGACGGTGATTCATGTCGCTGTGAAGTTCCTGTCAGCAGCCAGAGAAAACGGGAATTAAGGCACTGGTCGCGAGCCACCTCCACCAACATATCCCATAGGGATCGGACAGGTAATGCTGTTTAAGCGACTGAGGATGGACTGGGAGGGACACAAGGAATGTTTGAAGTGTTGATGGTAGCTTTCCAAACTGAACAAGTTGGAGTCATATGTCGCTTTAAAAAAAATGAAATCAGTGGCACTTGAAGATGAACAAATTTATTTCACATGTGAAATTTTGTGGATCATGATTTGCTTCCTGAGAACCACAAAATCTCACACATGAAATAAAGGTGTGGGTTTTCAATGTGTCATAACTGAATTATCAGTACTATTTTTAATGTTTTTTTTGGTTATACATGCTGAAACTGACTCATATGAATCAACGTCTGGGACCAGATTCCTTCATTGTCTACTTCCAAATTCAGAGATAGCGAGCCATTAAATTCAGAGGACCGTCTCTCTGTCCTGTCACTAGCAGAAATTAAACAGGTAGATGGTAAAAGGCAGGGACTTCTTGGTGATTGTTCCTAAGTAGAAAAAAGCCACACTCCCTTGCTTAGGCCTTCAAGCATCTCAATGGCAGCTTTGTTACAACAAGGGTGATAGGACTATATTATATTATTTTTACAGATAAATATACCACTGAGTATGTGATTGTATTGGTCATTGGGTTATGAAAACCAAATCTTTTTTAAAGAGGCAAGCTTTGTTACAACAGGCTTTTTGTATATGATCGTAAGAAACAGAAAAGCAGCCATTTAAAATACGTTAATCGGGTTTTGAAGGTGCAACTGGTTTTTGCTTCCACTTTTTATCATTAAAAAAATATTGAGTAGCTATGGATGATACCTAGAAACAGCAGTATATAAATAATACAAAGCTGAAGGGGGGGGAGGGACACACACCACATCCTTCGTTTCAGCTTTGATGTGTTAGGGCTGTCTGGGGTTTCTTATCAGGGAGTGGCGCGTTCTGTGTATATTTTCAAAAGCTGCTGTGTTCTGGTTTGGCATTCTGATTGCTCCCAGATCTCAGCACTATTTAAATACTGTTTCCCCCCAAAAATCCCGGATCTTCACATTCTGGCTAGGTTCTGGACCCATCCAGCTGTGGCGTTTTCTGCTCGAACTGCTGCAGGACGGTTCATGCCAGGCCTTCATCCGCTGGACAGGGAATGACTGGGAATTTAAACTCTGTGATCCTCATGAGGTAAGGTCCTCATTCCCCTGCAGTTTTGATATTCCAAGGGCTGGACTTGGTCCCTGTTCATAGGGCTGGATTTCCTTTCGTGTGCCTAGAAGTTTAGTACTGTATTTTCGGCCAAACTACCTTGACCAATACTTCCCACAATATTAACGTGTAGGTCGTAACACAAACGATCTGTTGGACTTCGTACTACTTTGGATTGTGCAATGCAGTTTTGTTGCTCAAAAAAAAACTGACAACTTGCACTAAGAAATTGCATTTTAGGGCAAATTGGTGTATAAATGTATCCCTTTGGCTTTGAGGATATATTTATACACCAATTTGCCCTTAAAGGCTGCATTTTAGGGCAAATTGGTGTATAAATGCATCCCTTTGAGGATACATTTATACACCTATTTGCCCTAAAATGCAATATTGTGGGAAATATTGGTCAAGGTAGTTCTGCTTTACCTCTGAATACATTTGGGATCTTCTGCGTGCTCCAGTAAAGTTTGTGTACCTTGCAGATATTGTGGGAAGTATTGGTCAAGGTAGTTTTGCTTTACCTTTGAATACATTTGGGATCTTCTGCATGCTCCAGTAAAGTTTGTGTACCTTGCAGTGGCCAATGCCAATTAATCAATGAAGTGGAGGGGCACAACTGTTGTGCAATCTGTCATATGATCTGGCATGTAACTGCCCCCCCCCCGGTTCTTTGTCCATTAGATGCAATTAGACTGATCTCTCCATTCCTATATATCTGTGAATAGAAGATGTTGGGAAACAGTGCTGAAATCCTGTTGTTCGTAGCTCTGCCAGTGGAAAAGTTCTCACATCACCCCTTCTCTTTGATGGGTTTTCTGACTCACAAATCCATTTTGTTGTGTGGGAGGAAAAAATCTTCCATTAGATAAATGCCACCACCAGGTTATGTTACCAGAAGGTGCAGAATTTCAGCCACGAAAGACTTCTTCCTACTGTTCTGTAGCTCCCACTTGATGAAAAAGATTCACAAATCAACAAAAGCCATGAGAAGTGGGGGGAGGGATGTCTCATTCCACAAATCTCCCTCTGCTAGTGATGTCATCAACCTTCTGCAGACATAACTACATCAACAGGATTTCAACCATACCTTGCTGGTGATTTTCCCAGAAGAAAGGGCCACTGCGAGAATAACATGCTAATCTAGATAGACTTTTCTGACTCTGCAGTGCTCCTCTAAGAATATATACAATATAATACAATATGTGAAATAACCCAGAGCAGCAGGTGTTCAGTCTAATTTTTGTGAAAAACGATGGAAAAGTTGCTTTTTTTGAGACTACAACTCAAAATATTCCTGTCAACCTGGCCACTTTTCCAAGCTCTGCTCTGCAGCCATTTCTCATGACTTACAACAATGAAGAATTGCAAAGCACAACTGTGATCAATATTGGCTTTGCAACCGTGTTTATATTGGTCAAAGAGACAGACCTCCCCATTTAGGATCCAGAAAAATAGAATAAAAGGGGCCCTGATTACAGTTATAAGGGAGCACAGGTGCTGCCTGTAAAGACCTGCCTCTTTCTCCCCATCCTTCTCAACTCCTTCTAGGTGGCACGGCGCTGGGGCAAGAGAAAGAACAAGCCCCGCATGACCTACGAGAAACTGAGTCGAGGACTGCGCTATTACTATCACAAGAACATCATTCACAAGACCAGCGGTCAGCGGTATGTGTACCGCTTTGTCCGGGATATCCAGGGTGAACTGAGTGAGAAGCCACAAAGCTAGGGAACGTGAGCATCCGTGCAAAAGGACATCCATGCAAAAGAAGAAATAAGTAGCTCTTCTTGGAGGGGGGGGACTTCTTCTGGGTCCCTTTAGCTTTGATGAATAACAAAGCGGACAACTTGAATGACATGCAGAATGCTACCCGGTTCCCAGGGATGGTGCACGTCAAGGCACTGTTTGCAGACGCATGCCAACTCCAGCAGGTCCTGTAGAGTGGCGATCTGCTGTTATCTTCCCACTTGTGTGCAAGGAAATAAAATTACACAACCCAGCAAGATTTGGTTATAAATAAAATACCTGGATATTTGAGTATCAATATATTTTGGTAAGTATAATTTCTAGGATTTATAGATGCAATTAGTTCTTTCTCCTTCTTGTTCTTCCTGTAGGCATTTCAAGAGTGTAACTAGGGACGGGCATGAATCAGAAAAACTGTGATTCATTTTGATTCGTGATTTGTCTTGACGAATCAATTTTTTAAACTTAAAAACCCTATAAAACGGCCCCACAACCACCTAGAGACACCAAATTTTCAGGGAAGCTTCCCCCGATACCTCTCTACAAGCCCTGCAAGTTTGATTAAGTTTGGTTTTCTGATGTCCAAGTTATACACCCACAAGGAGGCCCCCATCCCTAATTGTAAAACCTCTGGCAGGCGCTTGTAAAGGGTTCTGGGAATTTCTACCCAAAAGTAACTTCTTTAGCTCCTTCTTTCTTTCCTATGCAATAGGCTTTAAATACTTTTTTTAAAACTGTATTTTTCACTCCTTTCATTAAAAATGATGAGCCGGCTTTCAAATTGTCATTGCTATTTTAAACTGTAATTTTACTGTATCAATCTAGATTAGAAGCTGTTTCATAATACAATTTTTTTTAGATGCAGTGTGGTTGATGAATAATCCCGAACATCTCATTTTAGGAAAACTGGTATTTTGAAAGGTGGCACATGAATTCCTAATAAAATAAAAAGCATTACGTGCATGGATAGGCTTAAAAATAAGCCACTCCCCCCCCATGGTAAAATATTTAAGACTTGGTTGAACTACTCAGAACCCTTATCTTGTTCCCATACACACAGTATTCGGGCTGCATTCTTGAAAAAAGTATGCAACAGGTTAGTACGTTTTCACATACATTAATTTCAAGCCTAAACAAAGCTATGAGTAGGTTTGGAAACTTGCATATGATTGAAGACTGCAAGGGTGCTCTTAAAAATTGCACTTCTACAATGTTTCAGGTGGCAACCTTACATCCTAGAATGAGCCTTGCTCAACTCAATAGTGTCATTATTTCCTCCTAGATACCAGATTATTTAAAACAGAAGTTTTGGATTATTTCTCCCTGCTTTAGTTGCTTAAAAAAAGAAGAAGAAGAAAGTCTTTTGTAAACTAGGTTTAGATGTCATGATAAGTAAGGGCACCCACAGGTAAGCAAGGGATTTTTGTGATTACATATTCCGTAATTCTCCATTCTGGGAGTGCCATCTATGGACATATAAATGTGGGTCATCTGGGAGATAGGCCCAAGATGGAAGGCTTTGTGTCCCAGCTAGGCCTAGCTCTCTGCTCAGAAAGGTCGCTCCCACTTAGGTTTCCTTTCTGAATAGGAAGCTAGGCCTAGGTGGGCCTCAGTGCCTTCCAGCGTAAGCCTTTCTCCCAAGTGAGCCAAATTTCCATGTCTGTCTGTCAGGTATAACCCTCAGAATGGTGAATTATGGGATCTGTATTCTAAGAAAACCTGGTCCCTAGCAAGAAATCAGCAATACTGATTCATTATGCTAGCTTTGCAGAGATCAGTCCTTATTTCTCAATAAGATGACAGACTCAGGTGTTTTACGACATGTGGCAACATTAGCACCAGTGAGCGGAATGGAATACCTTAAGCCTTTCATATGTTTTGGACGCCAGTTCCCAGAAGCTCCAACGAGCATGGCCAATTATAAGAGATTATGAGATTTGGAGTCCAAAACGTCCGGAGGGCCCATCGTGCCACACCCTCTTAGAGAAAAGGCTGGGGAGGAAGTATGAACGTCTGCTCAAACCCAGCTCAGAAGATCCTGAATGAAACTCCTCCTAATTGTGGGACAGGAGAGGCCATTTCGGCATTACCTTTTTGCAATAAATAATTTTAAAAACTGGATCCAGTTTTCATGGCTGGATTTTAAAACGGCATGAGCCAGCCCAAATAAGTTTAAAGTGGTGCCTTTGAATTTATTTTGGAAACCCAGAAGAGGTGAAAAAAAAAAAAGACCCACAACCTGCTTAGCAATTGTACCTTCAGCACTATTTCCCCCAAGGAGGGACAGAAAACCACCTCTTGCATTAAATTCAGTGACAGTTCTACCCCCTAAGGGGTTGCAGTGGAACAAAACACATAACTGAACCAACAGGCACAATCCATGCCTCGGTTCATGAAAAGGGCATCGTCGGCCTTAGATAGAAACCGCCACGTAGGCTGTTGTGGGGGCCCCCACCCCTGCTCGTGGGCCAGTTTCAGGTCCAGCTGTGTTGCTTCTGCCGCTGCTGCGACGTCTTGGCTGCCAAGGTCCAGCGCTCCAGCCACTGTTGCAAGGTGAAGCCATGGCGCCGCTCGCCCGGGAGCACAAACTGTCCTGGTTGTTCCCACCTAGAAAGAGAAAACGGGGATGGCTCATCAGCAGCTGGGATGGAGCCATAGCAACCAAGGGCTCTCCAGGCACAACAAAAATTCTCTACCCGACACAACCCTTTGGTCTTACAAATACCTCCTCTCTTGAGTGGTTTCCAAAGTCTTCAGTGTTTCCCCAGAAACATATACTTACATCTGCACACATACGCACAGGTAATGAGACCTAAAACTAGCTGGATCTCTCAGTGGTTTAAGGATCTGGTTGTGGAGCCAGAGGTTGTGAATTCTATTCCCCACTGTGCCTCCCTAGAGAAAGAGCCAGCCTGGGTGGCCTTGGGCCAGCGGCATCGTCCCAGGACATCCTTCCAGAAGAAGGGAAGGGTCAACCGGTTCTGAGTATTCTCTTCCTGGAAAACCCTGGATGATGATGATGATAAATTCTCATGTTATTGAGAACTGAACAACACTTCAGTCAAAGTTTTTCTGGATCCATTTGAGAGGTGCAATTAATTTTACATATAAAAAGAGTGGTAAAAGTATGCCCACAGAATCAGGCAAAAGCAACTATATTGCTTAAATATTTGTTTATAAATCACGCTGATAAAAAGTTCGGGTACACACGCACGCATGCACACACACGCGCTGACCAGGCTTGGTCTTGTATAAACCCTGGTTTTCTAGTGCTTGATATGTAAACTGCTTAAGATGTTTGACTTTACTAATTCATTGTCCCATTGTCCTTCTGCCGGAAGACACAGTTGTGTCTGACACAAGACCTGTCCTGCGACCCTTAAACAAGCTGGCCACCATCAAATACGGAGATGCTAGTTTTAGGTACTAAGGCCAATAGCTGTGTATTGGCGGCACGTGGCTCTTTCCTTTGCCTCAGCCAGATTCCTCACAACCCCATGAAGCAAGCTACGAATACATAACACTCCCTATGCTGAGACAAATTATTGCCACACTTCTGGACTGGCAGCAGCTTTTCACGGTCCCAAGCCTTGGCCTTTCCTAGCCCTACCTGGAGATCTCTAGTATCTCCTGGAGGTCTCTCATCCAAGTCTTGACCAGGCCCGACCCTACTTAGCTTCTAAAATCAGACAAGACCGGAGTGTCGAAAGAGCAGGATGGTGGCAAGTGGGCCAATATTATCCAGCAAGATTCACAGTTGAGCAGAGAAGTGAAACCAGCGTCTTCCCCGCCAGGGTCTCTCGGCTGTGGTTTGGACACTGTGACCCGTGACACAACGCTGTCTCTCCTCCCGGCTGTCTGCCCTCCACTCACCATGCATCCACAATGGCCTGCACCTCCTGCCATCGCTCTATACGGCAGCGGCACTGATCGGTCACCCTCTGAATCCGAGGCAGGAGCTCACGGGCCTGCTCTTGATCATGGGCCTTCACTTCTCGCACCAGGGCTGAGGAGGAGGGGAAAAGACCAGCTTATTCATGGTACACAGTAAAATCGAAGTCAAATCAGATGTTATGGAAAACGTCTATGATCCATGATTAATTTCATCTGAGTTTCTACAAAATACTAACGTGTACTTGCAAATTAAGCCCATATTTACCTTTCCAATAAGTTAAGATAAACATCCCAATCACATAACAAAGTTCAAGAGGCAGAGAGGAGTGAAAGCCTGTACAGTGGTCCCCAACCGTGGGCCTCCTGATGTTCTTAGACTACAACTCCCAGAAGCCTTCACCACCACCTTTGCTAGCCAGGATTTCTGGGGGTTGAAGTCCAAGAACATCTGGAGGCCCAAGGTTGGGGAGCCACTGCTGCAACAGGCGTCCTTCAGGACCTAAAGAAGCACCATTCCTAATGACATGGTAACTGTTATCATCTGGTTTGATCCAAAAATAAGAGCAGAAACACATCCTGCTCAAGAACAGCACAGATCAAGCCGCAAGAGGTCATAATCAGCCATTAAGAGTGGAATGGCATTTGAAAGTGTCTATAAGACCCGCTGGAAAGCAGCTACAGAAGCCGCCAAGAGCACGTGCCATAGAAAGGTCTGCCATGAAGAACAGGGCCACCACTGAGAGGGCCCCACCTCCTGCATAGTCCAGACCAAGTGGCTTTCAAAAAGGGGTGCCATTTCAGAGGGACCAATTTAGTAATTTTAAGTGACAGCTACAGAGTGCTGTGGAGGTGTGGGCCCTTGTTTTCTTCTTCCAAACTTGGGTTTCAGATGTTGTGGGCTCTACCTAGCTCACATCGCCTCCCATCTTTAAGGAGCAGGGAGAAAGACTGGGGGGTTTGAGGTAATAATTTTGTGCACCTAGAAGTTAGTTCTGCTTTCTAAGTCAAAAAGACCCAAGGAGGAGAGAACATATTCTGGAGGCTTGGATGGTTTCTACAAGGAGAAATCCTAAGGCATAAATGGAAGAGACAGTCGACTCACCTTGCACATCGGGTTCTGGAGCCTCCTCCAGCTGGTGCTGCAGATTCTCCAAAGCCCTCTGTTTGGAACTGAGCTGGGCACACAGGAAAAGAAGCTTTTTCTTCAGGTCGGCCATGTGGGGGAGGAGCTGCTCAGGACCCTGGAAGGGAGCAGGGAGAGGAGACATTTGAAGGGGAAGGACGGTTCCGTTACATCGACATGGCCACGTCAGCCCCTCCAGATGTTGCGGTGTACAACTCCACCTAGCGAGGCCAATATAAGCCAGTATGGCAACATCAAGATGTCTAGAAACCCAAAGGCTCTCCACTTTGATCTTTACCTTTTAACACCTGAAAGCGACCTAATGGCAGTTGCCTGAAATGACAGGGAAATGGGAAGTGGACTTAACAAGCAAAAGCCAGTTCAGGCCACGTTTCATCTAAGATGGGCAAATGGGTGGATCTCCAGATAGCGGGGACTGCTGTGCCCGTCACGGCCTATCGGCTCTCTTGACTAAAAGTGACGAGAACAACCGCCCACTGCCACCTGCTACCCATTCCTGGTCTATTCTCTCCTGCAGGCCCTTTCTAGGAGGGACTGGTGAAGGGGGTCCTACTGCATCTTCTACCCCTGATCTGCTAAAACAGGAGAATCACCGGCTGGCTTGGGACCCTAAACTGGGAGAAATGTGGGATCATAAACAGAATAAATTAAAAATAAATACATAACTGACAGGGATGGTGGGTAGTATCTTCTGCACACACAGAACGTGGAGAAGCTACCCATTTGGAAAACAACCAGAATCCCTGGCCAGCATGGCCACTGGGGATGGTGGTGGTGGTGGTTCAGGCAGTCCTGGAAGTTACATTCCAAAAAAACACAATTTCCCCCAAGTTCTGCATGAGGGAGCCGTGTTCCTTTACTGATTTGCAAGGGATTTCAATCTGATTCATTTTCTTCCATCTAGTTTCCCTAGATCTATCAGGGAGGCGCAGACCTTGTAAAGCGGGAAAGCAGCTCCACTGCAGACGTTGAGGAAGGCCCTGTATTCTGCTGGGGCCGTACGGCTCAAGCGGTGGATGGAAAGCTCGTGAGCAGGGAGGTACTGAGACCTGGAAGAGAAAGCAAGCTGCGTCGGCTGTCTTTTTCCCTGTTGGTGTCTTCAAATCAATGTTGAATGGGAAAGACTGAGCACAACAGGTAGGGAAAAGTCAGTCATGACACACGCATTCCTCTGATCAAAATAATGTGGGCGCTTCTCACTTAACACAAAAAGGCCTTACGCTTAAGCAATGCAATTTTTGCAGCGGGAAGCCATGTTCCGGGACAAGCACAAATTACAAGCATTGACTTCCTCTGTGTACCCTTTCTGCCATGACGGACGGCTGGACAGCTCCGTGATTAAGTGAGGTTGGGAGTTTGATTCCCCACTGGGCCTCCCTGACAGGAGCTGGATTCGATAATCCACAGGGTCCCTTCCAGCTCTGCAGTTTGATGATGATGATGATGATGATGATGATGATGATGATGATGATGATGATGATGATGATGATG